TGTGGGGCTCGCCGTTTGGTGGGAGAGGACAGATAAGCAGGCACTCGGATAACTCACGCCAGGTTTGCTCTGTGCGAGAAGGCATTCTTCTGTCCTGCTGACTGTGTCCCCAGCACAGTGCCTCTCCATCCTAGGCACATGCTGGTATTGATTATAGTTAAAACCCGGTTGGCACGCTGTGAACCACAAGCCAGATCTGGCCTCTTGTAAATAAAGGTTTATTGGAACATAGCCATGCTCATGTGTGTACATCCTCTAAGAGCTGAATTGTGTGATTGTGACAGAGACCGGATGGCCCACAAAGCGGTATTTACCATCCGGCCCTTCACGGGATAGGTTTGCCGACACCTGGAGCAGAGGACGGAAAGGAAAGGACAGCTGTTGCACTGAACGTAGCGGTGGCCTAATGGGGGAAACCCCCAGCTGAAGCCCCACTGAGTGGAGACAGGCAGGAAGAGCAGGCACTGAGTCCCGGCAGGGGCAGCGTCTTCAGAGCCCTGGCAGGTGCAGGGTGAGGGCAGGTGGTGCCTCAAGACCCTGAAGGGAGGTCTCTGTAGCATGGAGCACAGGACAAGGGCAGAAAGGACTGAAATGAGGTGTCCGGGGTGAGCCGAGGACCTTTGAGGCACGCGAGGACATCTCTTTCCACGGAGAACCGTTTGGAATAAATGGGTTTATGAGTAGTTGGGTGTCCTTTTGGGGAAGCCTGTGTTGCACTGTTGAGAGCACGGTGGAGGGGACAGGGGTAAGTGGGTGTGGAGAAAACCTGTTAGAAGGCTCTTACAATGGGATCAAGAAATGCAGGGAGCTTGGCCCACGGACCAGAAGAACGTCTGGTTGTGAGTGAAATGGTTCTGGAGATGGCCTGTGGGGAAACTCACCAGGCACGGCAGCTTCTTGCTTCTGCTGTCTCTGACATTGGACGTGTGCCTTTCTGGAATGACTGCTTCCTACCAGTAGCACCACATTGGTATTGATCTTGCTGTACTTGAACTCTTCATCTGAACCCTAGGAACTCTCTCACTGTGGTAGCTGTGTGTGTCCAGAAGATGGACCTACCTGCTAGGATCAGCCCAGACTGCAGACACGTCTCCACGCCCAGGAGACTTAATACTCCAGCAACTAAAGTTTTCTTACAGTTTGGATTTTGGGGGAAAAAAATATTATTTCTCGTGTGATAGTCTCCTTAATGTCAAAGCTGGCCTTTGCTCCTTGGTCCTTCTGTGTTTCTAGAAAGCTTTCAGGGCAGAGGGACTGGCCCAAGTGCAGAGCGTCCTCCCTGGTCCCAACCCAAGTCCCCTCTGCTTTGATGTCTGTCTTCCCTTTTCAGGTTCCGTTACTAGTCATCACTTACGTTGTTGTCTGACTACGTCATAGGGAAATTTAGAAATTGTTTTTCCTCACAGACTGTTGTGGAATGTAACTCAAATAAATATTAAGACTTAGAGGGGTTTTTTTTTTTCGTTTTTTTTTTTTTTTTTTTCTTACCAGCAACAGAAATGCTCTGGCATTTTATCATCTCATGAAATTGAAAACTAAATGGTTTGGCTTGCTTTTGGGGAGTTGTATTTATTATTTACAGTTTTGTGTTTTAACCGTAAATACTTGTAGAAAATTCCAGGACAAAATCACAAATTTGAGAGTTGAGGGGCGCTCTAAGGGCCCCATCAAACCCAGTGAGTGTTTTCTTTAAAAAACAAATGTTGTACAGCAATAATGCCGACACAGTCCACTGTCCTACACAGATGATTTTGTTCTGGAATTTTCTACAAGTAGTTCAGCATTAGCTGTTGAGGGCTGAGAGCCGGCTCCAGGTTGCTGTGCTCCGGTGTAGCTGCTCCTCCCTTCTCCCCTTGTTGTGTTGCTGGCGGGTCTTTCCTTCCTGATGGGAAGGATCCGTGTTCCTTTGATAAGTGTCCTTCGTGTCCTGTCTTCTCCTTGTCTGTGGCTTCTTCTCCAGCTTCCTTTATCTGATAGCTTTTGTCTACGATGCTTTTAACATCAGCATAGTCCCGTCAATCGATAGTTACTGCTTGGGCTTTTATGTCTTCAGTAAGAAGATGCAGTGCCCACAGTCTTAGAAATACCTCCTGTGTTTTTCTCTCAAGCTTGAAAAGGCTTCTGTTTTCCCAGTTAAGTCTTTCATCTGTCTGGGGTTTCTTTTTTCTGTGTGACATGAGGTGGGAATCTACTTTTATTTTTTCCGTATGGCTAGCCAGTTGTCCAACAGCATTTATCGGCTGGTCCTTCCTTCCTTCAGTTGCTTGTAATATTGTCCTTGCTGTTCATCAGGGTTTTACATGTGTAGGATATATAGAAGCCGGTTTGCAAACCTGTCATCTAACTCCTACGCTCTACAGTACTGCTTGAGCACTGAGTGTGATTCTGTTGCACACTTTGGTGTGTGCGTGTGTGCACAGTTTTAAGAACTATATGGGAGCCAGTTGACAACAGCTACTTGAAAGGGTGGATAGGAGGTTCAGAGGCAGTGAGTTTACGGAACCGTTGGAAAAGGAAGGTGAGAGGGTTGCGTAACTTGGAGATTGTGACCGAAGTCACTGCATTGGACGTGTAGGAACTGTTACATTGGTGTACCTTGTGCTGTGTATAGCTTCAGCAACAAAATTTAAATAATACTTTAGGAGAGCCAAGGAATCCTCAGGCTTTACGCTCTCAAAGTAAACTCCCATCTGAGCGCGAGCCCTCTCCAGCAGGCTGATGGGGAGGTGGTGCTGTGTGTGCAGGGTGCCTCACTCGAGGTCCTCCCGTCCGGAGGAAACACTGTCGCGCGCCATGTTGTTAACCTCCGGAGTGGCCTCCCTGCTGCCCACTCAGCCCGCCTCCTGGGAACCCTGTCCTCGGGAAAGGGAGACACCTGTAGAGGGAACTGGCGACGAGCGACCACCTCTGTTTCATTAACTTGGTCCCATTTCCCATGTTAAGGGATGAATGGTTCAGTTTATCTCTAAATTACTTTTATATAAGACAGTTTCTATAATCTGTGCAACACCGGGGGGGGGCGGGGCGATCTCATAACCCAGGGCTACAGAGTGATCCCGGCGTTTGACGGCAATGTTCTGCAGTGGTTTGCACGGCTCAGGTTCCATCTCGTGTTTCCCTGTAGCTCTTTGACCTGGAATGATCTGCTGGCTTTGACACCACCCCCACCGTCATTTAAAATTTATCACATGCCTTTGAACTCAGGCAGCAAAAGTGGTTTGTAAAACCAGGTTTGCTGGTCGAATGGAGCCTGGTGTAACCACTGAGACTATGGCCCCTAGCTGCCCTTCAGGTCTGGAATTGAACCCACAACTGTGGTTTCCAGCCAAACAAAGTACAGGCATGTGAGTTAAACATTTACCTCAAGTAGACACACGCCCTGGAGAGAACAATCATGGGAGAAGGAAGGGCTGCTTATGCACAGGGAGATAGCTCAGGGTGCAGAAGAGTATGAAGGGATGGACACTGGGAGGAGGTAACTATGGGGAGGAAGTGGGAGGGGAGCTGCTGCATTGTAAATTTTGGTCAATGACATGAGACAAAGTATATGTGAACTGCTGTATGAAAAGTGAATTTACTCTGTAAATCTTCACCCAAATCCTAAAAAAAGAAAAAAAAAAAGTGGTTTGTAAAGGCTTGTACCTGCTCAGTGTGTTCATTCTGACACTCACGTTCGTTCCTGGCATGCTTCCTTTCTGCCTCGTTAGCGCCATCAAACTCTGAAGCAGGTGTCCTGTGGGAAATGCGTGTTTTACTTCCCCCAGATAAGATTGTCAGGGTAAATCTGAGGAGGATATGGTGATGACAAGCATCTGAAAGTGATGGGTTGCAGTTTGTTTGTTGACCATACTGTTTAAGAAGCTTTGTCAAGAAATTCTAAGTGTGTTGTTGCATGGGCTCAGTGATGTTTTACATTGCTTTCACTTCTTGAAGGATACTTGCTTCAGGCAGTCGGCTGAGTAGTTGATCAGAGCGTAAGGTGGTTACGATGTTAGAAATACTTAGTCTGGGGGGTCATACATAGAAGGCAAATACTAAGTAGTGGATCTTTTAAAAGGATCCCAAGAGTGAGGCGATGTCACCACTGCAGGGAGATACCATATAAAATCATTCTGGTGTCTCCAAGGAAAGGCTGTTCCTCCAGGGTATAGCACATGCGTGGAGGAAGGACCCTCAGCCAATCAGACATGAGCTGTGGGTAGCAATGTCCCTGTTGATATGCAGCACTCCGATGAGCTGTAACTGCTGAAGGAGAGAGCATGGGGCAAAGGGAACGACCTGGGTGTTTCTGATCCTTGGTGACCTGGATCACAGAAGGTTACATTCTGTCATACCTCCTTTCTCGCTTTCTTCTCTCCCTCGCCACCCCCCCCAGAAAACAAACAGACAAACATTGGGGTCTCTGTTACATGACTCTGCGATGCGTTTACTGTTCTTTCCTAGTGGAAGTGCTCTGGTGGCACCGCAGGGCACTGGCAGGGTCGGTGTCCTAGAAAACCTCCAGCTTGTGTTCAAGTCCTTTGGGACTTGGTGTCCTTGCCAGCATTTTCCAGACTCTCAGGTGTTTGCAGGTGTGCGTAGTCCCATCAGTCTGGGACCTGCTACACTCAAGTTGAACAGCTTTCTTTCCTACAAATGCTTTCCACGTCCCCAGAGATGCTCACGTGCGTGTGTGCATTGTCGACCTTCTCAGGAGGGGTAACAAATAGTATGGTGGAGTGGTAGGTATTCATAGAATTCACAAAGCACTACCTCTTCTTCAAATGGAGCTGTTCAGAAGACTCATAACTTTTGTTCTCAAGTCATTTTTTAGCATTTGTCGCTCCGAATTGAACAGGAAGAGCTGCCCCAGAGATTTCTCTGGCAATGGATTCCTTGACGGGTGGCAGGCAGATCTCATTGTGTGTTTTGTTTCATCTTTTTCAGATCTCAGCCACAGTGGATTGGCGGATCATTATGAGAGTCCCCACTGGGGACAGCAGCCCACTTACCGAAGCGAAGCCAACTGCAGCTGGGATAAAGTGATCGTAGACAGGACTGGCAAGGAGGCGGGGCCTGCCGGAGCCGAGACGGAGCCTGCCTCAGAATGTGCTGTGGACACTGACTCTGCCTCCCCCTGTGGCTCGGAAAACAGTAGCATGGCTACAGGGAGTGCCCAGGGCAGCTTCCCAGGACACACAAAGAGGACAGGTGGCAGCAATGGCAGCAGCGGTGCACTCATCCAAAGCACTTCCAATCAGAGTGCCCTTGGAGCAGGCGGGGCCAACGGCAACGGAAACTCAGCCCGCGTCTGGGGTGTAGCCACAGGCTCCAGCTCTGGTCTCGCTCACTGCTCCATCAGTGGTGGGGATGGACAGATGGACAACATGATTGGAGATGGGAGAAGTCAGAATTGCTGGGGTGCTTCCAACTCCAATGCTGGCATTAATCTTAACCTTAATCCTAATGCCAACCCAGCTGCCTGGCCTGTACTTGGACATGAAGCAAACGTGGCGACAGGCAACCCTTCCAGTATTTGTAGTCCGGTCAGTGCCATAGGTCAAAACTTGGGCAACCAGAATGGGAACCCAACAGGCACGTTAGGTGCTTGGGGAAACTTGCTGCCGCAGGAGAGCACAGAACCACAGACATCCACGTCCCAGAATGTGTCTTTCAGTGTACAACCTCAGAACCTTAACTCTGATGGACCAAATAACACTAACCCCATGAACTCTTCACCAAACCCCATCAATGCAGTGCAGACAAACGGACTGCCGAACTGGGGGATGGCTGTTGGTATGGGAGCCATCATCCCGCCCCACCTGCAAGGCCTTCCTGGTGCTAACGGATCATCAGCTTCTCAAGTCAGTGGGGCTGGGGGTGAAGGAATAAGCAGTTCTGTGTGGGGACTGTCCCCAGGTAACCCTACCACAGGAAATAGCAATTCTGGGTTCAGTCAGGGGAATGGAGACACTGTGAACTCAGCATTAAGTGCTAAACAAAACGGATCCACTAGTGCTGTGCAGAAGGAAGGAAATGGAGGAAGTGCTTGGGACTCAGGACCGCCTGCTGGTCCTGGAATACTAGCTTGGGGAAGGGGCAGCGGTAACAGCGGTGTTGGCCATATTCCGTCGGGAGCTTGGGGCCACCCCAGCCGAAGCACCTCCAATGGTGTGAATGGGGAATGGGGAAAGCCCCCAAACCAGCATTCCAGTAATGACATCAGTGGGAAAGGACCAGCAGGGTGGGACAGTGCCAGCATTAGTGGCCAGAGCCCCACCCTGCCGCCCAGTGGTGAACAGGTGACCTCTTGGGCCAAAGCTGCGTCTTCTGGAACGACCACCAGCGAAGGAAGCAGTGACGGTTCCGGCCATCACCATGAAGGAAGCGCTGGGAGGGAAGGAACTGCGGAAGGCCGCAGGCGAGAGAAAGGGGGTGCCGACCAAGGACACATCCAGTTGCCAAGGAACGATCTTGACCCAAGAGTCTTGTCTAACACTGGTTGGGGACAGACTCCTGTAAAGCAAAACACTGCCTGGGAATTTGAAGAATCCCCTAGGTCTGAGAGGAAAAATGACAACGGGACAGAGGCCTGGGGCTGTGCAGCTACTCCGCCGTCACACTCAGGGGGCAAGAGCGATGGGTCCGTCACGAACAGTGCAAATACCTCTTCAGTATCTGGGTGGGCCAGCTCACCTCCCGCTGCTGCGCCAGCACACGCAGGCTGGGGAGACGGCAGCAGCAGAGCGCCACACGGCCCAGGGGTTTGGGGAGACTCGATGGGCTCTGCTGCTGTGACCAATGCTGCTGCTGCCAAGGGCGGTCACGCTTGGAGTGGGACCGCCAGCCAGGAGGACAAGTCCCCCACCTGGGGTGAGCCTCAGAAACCCAAATCTCAAAACTGGGGAGATGGACAGAAATCCAACCCAGCCTGGAGTGCAGGGGCGGGCGACTGGGCAGACTCAGCGTCCGTCCTCGGACACCTGGGGGATGGGAAGAAAAACGGATCTGGCTGGGATGCTGACACCAGTAGGTCCGGGTCAGGTTGGAGTGACGCTCCGCGGACTGGGACCAGTGGGTGGGGCAGTGGCACAAATGCAAAGGTTAATCCAGGTACAAGCTGGGGGGAATCTTTAAAGACTGGTCCCCAACAGAACTGGACTAACAAACCCCAAGACAGCAATGCGAGTAACTGGGGAGGAGCTGCTTCTGTCAAACAGACAGGAACAGGGTGGATCGGGGGGCCAGTAGCAGTCAAACAGAAGGACAGCGGGGAAGCCACTGGCTGGGAGGAACCTTCTCCACCCTCCATCCGACGCAAAATGGAAATTGACGACGGTACCTCAGCTTGGGGTGACCCGAGCAACTACAACAATAAAACTGTAAACATGTGGGACCGAAACAACCCGGTCATCCAGAGCAGTACCACCCCCACCACCCCCACCACCACTACTACCACCACCAGTAACAGCACGAGCGTGGTGGAGACGCCACCCGCACACCAGGCCAGCACGCAGCTCAGCCGGCCCCCGCTGCTCGGTTCAGGTAGGAGAGGAGCTCTGTGTTCCTTCACGAGCAAAAAGTCACGGGCACATGAGTCTTCTGAGGAGTGTTTTAATAGCAAGCGACTTGGGAGTGGTGCAAGCACCCTTTGGTGCTGTCATGCTGTGTTTAAGTGTCATCCAGGGGGAATTGGGCCAGTTCTCGAATCACCTGACCCAGGAAAGGGAGCATCGGCACCCACCGGAGAACGAGGTTTCCCAGCTCCACGATCTTTTTCCCCGATCAGGCAGTCCATTTTGAAATTGTGTTTATGGTGTATATCATCAGCTTTTTTTTTTTTAAGTGAACTGGAACATAGGTGCCTTCACCCCACTCATCTTAACTTGTCCGTGTTCCTTTCCAGGTTATGACTCGTGTGACCGCTGGCGAGTGCGTCTTTTTATTACTGATGTAAATTTCTTCTCATTTTACCCTCATTCTTCTGTTTGTCTGTTAAATGTTTTATTGTGGTTGAGGTGAAAGTTTACAAAACAAATGAGCCTCCCTCTCAGCAGCTTACTCCGATCCGATCCTTCCGACAGTGGTTGCAGTCCCACTGTGTCAGTGCCCTCCCCAGTCCACCTTGGGTCTCCCCGGTTCCATTTGCCCAGTGTCCTGCCCCTTCCTGCTTTCTTGATGCTGCTGTTGGGCAAAGGCTGCCCTTTTGATCTCGTACAGTGATTGTTCTGAGGAGCGTGTTCCTCCCAGACGTTAGGGTTCACTTTGTAGCCCTGTCCTTCAGGTGGCCAGACGGTGGTCACGCAGTGAGTGGCTATGGTTCTAAGTTTGAAGGGTGGCTAAGGGCCATGGTCTCAGGGTTCCACCAGTATCTATCAGACCGTTCAGTTGGGACTTTATTGTGAAGTTGAATTTCATTCTCCTTTTTCTCCCACTCTGTCTGGTACCTTCTCTCATGATCCCGTCAGAGCAGCCACCTTCTGAGTACTCTTGAATGGCACTTCTTTGTGCCCAGACTTACATCATTACTGAAGTGTGGTTTCACCAGTGCACAGTTCAGACTGTGTCCTCCTCCCTGGTTCCTAAAGTCATGCTCCCAGTAACATGGTCTCGTTCTCTTCTTTCTGAAGCATACATTATTTTTCTGAGGTAGAGCTTAAACTCTAGAGTCTTTCTGTGTTTTTCAAGGCCTCTCTTAAAGCCATTTCTTCCCCCCACCCCCCATATTGTGCTTAGAAAGTTTGACACTCAGTCCCAAGTGTTGAGCTTTATTCTGGAGAAACTTCCGTTCATACCCTCCAGTTAGTTGCCATCTTTTGAGCCTTTTCTTGTGATCAGCGTGTTGGTGATTCCTTCTCGTTTTATGTCACCACTGCCTTTTATGGCCACACCATAAAGAATGGGCTGGAGATGCAGTCCTTTCTCCATGGAGGGTCACTCAGCCATCAATCACATGGGACCTGACCTGCTTCCAGAGAACTCCCTGCCTGGGATCTGAGAAAGGGCGTCTGTAACCTCGGGCCTCCGTCACTCAAAAGGCTCACACAGCAGAGTGGATGCTGACCGCCCATCAGCTGTCATGTGTAGTGAGTCTGGCTGACGGATTGTTCGCACCAGTCAGACATCATTGAGGGAGATGTGACAGCCTCTGTAGCACGTCACCACACTCTCATACCAAAAGCCTGCTGGGGACCTGGCCGCCTCTGCTCACTTCCCCTCTGATCCAGCACTGCCTCAGGCTTCCTCCAGCCCAGGAGTTATGATCACCTGACAGAGCCCTGTCACTTGTACCGTTTCTCGTCCTCTCGCACCTTCCACGTGATGCTTCTAGAAGCACCACCTGCGTCCTTTCACTCATTCAGAACATATGTATTGAACCCCCACCATGTGCTAGGCCTTGCGCTACATTCTCAGACTGTGAGACACTGTGCTCTCTTGAAACCTCCTTTTGTACCTGAGAGCGGACTGCCCCCGTGGGGAGCATGCAGTCACGGCCGGTGTCTAGTTACTGGGTACAGCTTGGTTTGGGGCTGTAACAAAGACCACAGGGGGCGACTGTTGCTGACAGAATCCATTTTCCCACGTTTGGTGAGGCTTGACGTCTGACTTCAGAGTGCCAGCTCTGGGGGAGACGCTCCCTCTCTCTCTGGGCTCTTTCCTTCCCAGCTTCTGTCCTCGGTGCCTCACTGACCTTCGTGTGCCCCAGCACCTGTCTCCACATCTCTGCCTGCTCACTTGCATTTAAGTCTCTTACGTCGTCAAGAGAGGGACTCGAGACACACCCTTCCCTGAGAGTGCCTCACTGACGTAACAGGTCATTCCCAAGCAGGATTATAGCCACAGATACAGGGTTAGAATTTACAGCATGTATTTTTGGGAGACCCAGCCCCGACCCCCAAGCAGCAGGAAAAGGAAAGGAAAGCCAGGGTGTCCAGGAGAGAGAGAGCAAGTGGCAGAGGGATCCAGGTGAGGGGAAGGTGGGGAGGTTTGGAAAAGCTTAGGGAGACAGACTTGTCTGTCGATTTGTCGTACTGTGGTGGTGTGTTGCTGTGAGCCTTGAGGCTGTGCCGCCAGTGTTTCAAATGCCAGTAGAGTTACACATGGTGCACGGGTTTTGGCATGGCTTGCAGACTGAGACAGACTAGGAAGAAGGAAGAAGCCATCCACTTCTCAAAAAATTGGCCTGGGAAAACCTTAAGAATAGCAGAGAAACCCTGTCTGTTACAATACAAAGCAGCTATACAGATAGCCCGGAAACACTGTCTGATACAGTGTAGGAGAACAAGCCACTTAGGTCAGAAGGCTTTCAAAATATGGCTGGGAAAGAGCAGCATCATCAGAGTAGAATCATCAAAGTAGTATCAGCCTTACTGATAAGGATAAAGTAAACCTTTCGAGACCTCCACCTGCTGACGTGACATGACTCAAATTGAGAAACAGCTGCAAACATCCATTAATCATCGGAACATGGAATGTACAAAGTATGAATCTAGGAATATTGGAAGTTGTCAAAAATGAAATGGAACGCATAAAGATTGATATCCTAGGCATTAGTGAGCTGAAGTGGACTGGTTTTAGACATTTTGAATCAGATGACTATATGATCTGCTATCCAGGAATGACGATTTAAAGAGGAATGGTGTGGCATTCATCATCACAAAGGACATTTCAAGATCTGTCCTGAAGTACAATGCTGTCAGTGATAAGATGATATCCATACGCCTACAAGGAAGACCAGTTAATACGACTATTACTCAAATTTTTGCACCAACCGCCAAAGCTAAAGATGAGGAAATTGAAGATTTTTATCAACTTCTGCAGTCTGAAATTGATCAAACATGCAATCAAGATGTGTTAATTATCACTGGTGACTGGAAAGTGAAAGTTGAAAACAAAGAAGAATCACCAGTAGTTAGAAAATTGGGCCTTGGTGACAGAAATAATGTTGGAGATCGCATGATAGAATTTTGCAAGGCCAACAACTTACTCGTTGCAAATACCTTTTTTCAACAACATAAATGGCGGCTGTACACATGAACTTCGGCAGATGGAGTACACAGGAATCAGACTGACTACATCTGTGACAAGAGATGATGAAAAAGTTCAATATCTTCAGCCAAAACCAGGCCAGGAGCTGATTGTGGAACAGACCATTAACTGCTCATATGCAAGTTCAACTTGAAGTTGAAGACAACTAAAACAAGTCCACGAGAGCCAAAATAGTATTTTGAATATATCACTCCGGAATTTAGAGACCATGTAATGATAGATTTGAGGCATTGAACACCAATGACTGAAAACTAGAAGAATTGTGGGATGACATCAAGAACATGATCCATGAAGAAAGCAGGAGGTCATTAAAAATGAGGAAAAAAAGAAAAGACCAAAATGGATGACAGAAGAGACTCTGAAACTTGCCCTTGAGCGGAAAGTAGCCAGAGCAAATGGAAGAAATGACAAGACAAAAGAGCTGAACCGAAGATTTCAAAGAGCAGCTCAAGCAGACAAAGTCAATTATTATAATGAAATGTGCAAAGTCTTGAAGTTAGAAAACCAAAACGGAACACACTTGGCATTTCTCAAGCTGAGAGAACTGAGGAAAAAATTAAAGCCTTGAGTTGCAATATTGAAAGATTCTATGGGCAAAATATTGAATGATGCAGGAAGCAGCAAAAGAAGATGGCAGGAATACACAGAGTCACTGTGCCAGAAAGGACTGGTCGATCTTCATCCATTTCACGAGGTGGCATATGATCTAGAACCAATGATATTAAAGGAAGAAATTGAAGTTGCACTGAAGGAATTGCCAAAGAACAAGGCTCCAGGAATTGACAGAATACTCATTGAGATGTTTCAACAAACAGATGCCCCACCGGAGGCATTCACTCGGTTATGCCAAGAGATGTGGAAGACAGCTACCTGGCCAACTGACTGGAAGAGATCCATATTTGTACCCATTCCAAAGAAAGGTGATCCCACAGAATGTGGAAATTATCAAATAATATCATTAATATTGCATGTAAGTAAGATCTTACTGGAGATAATTCAAAAATGGTTACAGCAGTATATTGACAGAGAACTTCCAGAGGTGCAAGCTGGATTCAGTAGAGGACGTGGAACAAGGGCTATCATTGCAGATGTCAGTGGATCTTGCCTCAAAGCAGAGAATACCAGAAAGATGTTTACTTGTGTTTTATTGACTATGCAAAAGCATTAAATTGTGTGGATCATACCAAATTGTAGATACCATTGAGAAGAATGGGAAATCCGGAACACTTAATTGTATTCATGAGGAACCTGTACATAGAGTAGGAGGCTGTCGTTCAAACAGAACAAGGAGACACTGCATGGCTTATAATCAAGAAGGGAGTGCATGAGGGTTCTGTCCTTTCACCATGCATATTCAATATGTATACTGAGCAGATAATCCGTGAAGCTGGACTATATGCAGAAGAACGTGGCATCAAGATTGGAGGGAGAATCATTAACAACCTGCAATACACTGATGACACAACTTTGCTTGCTGAAAGCACTTACTGATGAAGATTGAAGAATACAGTCTG